ATACAACTGTTTTGATAAGAAAATATTGGATTTTCTGGATTTCTAAACTATCATCAAAGTTTTATACAAAAATGCTTATGAACTCACCAACATATTTTATGTTGACGCTTTTCAAACGACTTGTATTCTCAGGAAACCAATAAGCAGGTTGTGGATCGCGGACTCAATATTATTTTGCTATATTTTGGATTTGCTTACTGATGTCTCTTTTGTGTAAAATTTGAGAATATAAACATGATGTAAAACAATGTAAGCTTGTTATATTGATGTATGATGTTTGGATTTCCTATGTTTCATTTATATGCAATTGTTATGATACTGCGAAATGAAGTCACCCGCCTCTGGACGTTTCCGCCGTTCTGGTCCGGGGGTGTGACACTCACTCACAAGAAAAGCATACCGAGTACTCAACAAGAAGTCAAAGAAAATCAAAGAAAGTTATTACGTCACTTTTGATGACAAATATATCAAAATCGTTTCAGAAGAGTGATGCTAAATGTGGAGAAATCTTTCCTTCGTAAAATTCAAATACAATTCCTATCATGACATTGTATGATAAATTTTTGAATCTTTATGATGAACCTGAAAAGGCAATCAATTATGAATCACAAGTTGTTGATAATAACGAAGATGAATTGCTAAAGTTGGTTGATGAAGCAATTGAAAATGTTGAAATTCATGTTGAAAATATAATTCTCCGAACGCTCAAGTTAACGGGGAGAATATTCATACTACTGAAAATCGATCACGTGAAGCAGTTTCTAATTCATTTATGATATTCATTTTCAGGAGGAACATGTTTCTGGTAGTGATTGTCTGCAGGGGAGAATCTATCTAATGATGATCATTTTTAGGGGGAGGATTCTTCATTGGATACTGATGTCCAGAGGGAGATATCAGAGAACAACGGTAATGATAATCATTCAGAATTTTAAGAAGTCAATTCTGAAATTTTTCCATAATATGATCTGAATTATCCACCTTTGGCGAAATGGACAAAATATCATCCGAAATCACAAGTGATTGGTGAAACATCCATTGGTGTTCTCACTCGCGCACAACAAAAAGAGAGGCATGCATTATTGAATAAAAATCAAGAATGTTGCATGTTTAATTCGTTTATCTCAAAAATTGAACCTAAAATAGTGAAAATTTATGTTGATCATGCAGATTGGTTTAAATCAATGCAAGATGAAATACACGAATTTGAAAGGAACAATTATGTAGATTGATTCTGACACCTCCAAATGCATCTATAGTTGGTTTAAACATGGTGTTTCGGAATAAATTTGACAAAGAAGGAAATGTGGTTAGAAAATGGAACGTCTAGTTGTGAAAGGCTATTGTCAATAAGAAGGGATAGATTATGAAGAGACGTGTGCACCTGTTGCGAGATTGGAGTCAATTCACATTTTTCTAGCATATGTTGCTCACAAGAACTTTAAATTTTTCTAGATGGATATGAAGTGTGCTTTTCTTAATGGTGATCTAGAAGAAACAGTTTATGTCGAACAACCACTAGGTTTTGTTAATAAAAAATTTACAGATCATTGATATGTTCTTGATAAGGCTGTCTATTGACTGAAAAAAGCTCCATGTGCATGGTATGAATCTCTTACTCGCTTTCTAAAACTATCTAAGCTTAAACAAGGTTCTGTTGACCCTACTTTATTTCGTAAGAAAGATGGTGATCATTTTATGATTGTCTAAATTTATGTTGATGATATTATTTTCAGTTCAACAAGCCCTAAGTTGATTGTTGAATTCCGAAAATTAATGGAAACTAAATTTGAGATGAGCTAAAATGGTCCAATTAACTTTTTCCTTGGATTGAATATTAGATAGAGCAAAGAGGGAATTTTTATAAACAAGGAAGCTGTAATGAAGTCTTTACTTACAAAAATTGGCATGAATGGAGAAATAAATGTGAAAGTTCCAATGGCGTTCGAAACTAAATTAACTCCTTCTCTTAATAAACATGCAGATGATCTAACATTGTATCAACAAATGATTGGGTTCTTTCTTTATTTAATGTTAAGTCGACCTGACATCATGTGTGCAATATGTTATTATGCAAGATATCAAGCTAGTCCTCGAGAACCTCACATGAGTGGAGTGAAGAATATTTTTCGATATCTTTGGAGAACTACTTCTCTTGGTCTGTGTTATCTATTTAATAATGGTTTCTTTATGCGTGCATTTTTTATGCAGATTTAGGAGGATGTGGACTTGATTAGAAAAGTACAACATGAGGATGTCAACTCTTAGACGAAAAGTTAGTAAGCTGTCAATCAAAGAAACAGACATATGTTTCCTTATCTACTGCCAAAACTGGATAGATTGATGTTGCATCCTGCACATCTCTAAATATTTGAATTCAAAGTCAGTTACGAAATTATGGGTTTAGCATGAAGAAGATTCCACTGTACTGTGATTCGGAAAGTGTCATCAAAATATGTCACAATCCAGTACAATATTCCAAGACAAAGCACATTGCATTAAGATACCACTTCATAAAACATCATGTAGAAGATGGAAATGTAGAAGTACATTTCGTAAGATCAGCGAGTCAGTTAGCTACCATTTTCACGAAAGCCCTACCAGAAGCAACTTTCAGTCAGATCTTACAAGGGATTGACATGATTGAAGCGGACTCGATTTCAAAATCAACATGACAAATTGTGAAATGGTATTGTTCATCCGCGAATGGTTACGAACTTCGGAGGCCTTCGGAATGTGCTAAATTGGTTTTTTACTTACCCTTCGTATGCGAGAGGGTGCGAGCCATCGTAGTTCATTGCACAAGGTAACTGTTCGTTTATTCTTATTTTGTTTTTATCTCCTGCGATGAGCTACAAGACATCACAACTTGTCGTAGTTGATTCTTTTTCTCATTCGTTTCTGATTTGCATCTCCATTTTTTTGCGATGACTTGCGAAAATTGCAACTCGTCGTAATTGAATTCTTGTTCGTAGTTTAAATTTTGTTTTTTTTTTCTTAAAAATTTTCAAAAATCCAAAAATATTTTCTTTTATAAAAATTTTCAAAAATACAAAAAGATTTTAGATTTATTAAAATTTTGAAAAATTCAAAAATATTTTGTATTTCTTAAATTTCAGAAAACCCAAAAAGATTTATTTTTTATTTTGAGTAGTTAAGTGTCTCTAGAAGCATGTTGTTGCATGTTGTCTAAATACCCTCATTGATTCTCCATTTGAGATGCCTTAATGAAATTTATTTATTCAAAGAATTTCTTCCCAATAGGTTTTATTCACAGAAATCATCGAGCTACCTTCTCTACTCATTTCGGAATTTTGAGATGTCGGCTTGGTCATTATGTAATAGTAAAGGTACATTCATTCTTCTTAACAAATCTTTGAAACCCTTGACGTCTCAAGTATATACAAACTTGAAAATAGGTTTCTTTTCTAAACCAAAAATGAATTGACGGTGAATTTGTTTACAATTTCTAATATGCAACAACGAATTGACGGAAGAAAACAAATTTTGTTTCTATGTACCAATTTCATTTTGCAACATATTTCTTTTGTACATATCATAATCATTTTTCACATAAAATCCTTGAGTTTTCAGGTTAATTCCTACTTGAAACTTAGGTTTTATAAATTCTATGCGATGGTTATCCTATTATTACCATGGGTAACGTGATGCACCACCAACCTTACCTATTTTCCAAGATCTTATTTCTCTCGAAATAATCAAAATCACACATATCACTTCGGGTCCATAAGGTTTCGGGTATAAAACAACTTCAGCCTAAACTTCACAAAAGACTGAGCTTAAGATTACATGTCATTTATACCATGATATGTATGAGGTTCCTATCAACACCTTACTTCTTTATTAAATTTTATCTCACACTTTACACACACTTTCACTTGCAATACTTAAAGGTCTCAAGTCAAACCAACTTGAACCAAGATTTCATAAATTCTAATCATTCTACCCGTGATTAGATGAGACCCTTCTTAACCTGGTTTCAGTTCCGATGCGCAGTTCTTGGAGAAAATAACCATGGTCGTAATTCCAATGGATTCGATTTCAATTTTTGAAAATGGAAGGGTGGATCAGTAATTATAGTCATTTCAAATTGAAATTGGTGAACTTTCTAAGGAAACTAATGATTATCAAAAAGTCATTATTAGACAAAAATTGTCTGTTAGCATATGTTGAGTTGGTGTATTCTAATTGGACCTTATTTTTGTGATCATTGGCATGAGAATATATGCTAACGTATGAAGAGATGGGTATTAAATGCATGAACGAAGGTTATTTTTATTCTATCAAATGGCATCCTCTGGAGATCATATTTCATTCATAGATTAGACAGCTTCATCGATTTATTTGGTGGTGAAACCTAATCAGAATATGATTCCTGATTTGGATTCCTCGAAGTATATTGCGACGATTCAACCATTGATTGAATGTCTCAATCATTCTGTGTTGAAGAAAGCCCTAACTCACTATGAATCTATTCCATTATCTACATTGATTTTGGTTTATTCTAATGGAAACTATAACAAGAAGGAATCAATCAGTTTTGATGTTCTTGGTCATCGAACGACCATTACAAAAGCCAATTTCTACAAGTTACTTGGATTATCTCCTACTGCTAATTCAGTCAATCCAAATTTGGTACCTTCTACGAGCATCATTCGTGCATATCATCAAATCGGGTACAATACTGAATTTATTTTTCTATCTTCTTTTAAGAAATCGTGTTTACCTCCTATTTGGAATGCACTTTTCACCATATTATTCAAGTGTTTTTCTGGGTTACGGGGTCTGATAGTGTAAACAAATTGTTTCATAAATTGCTCTATGGTCTCTTTTCTAGTGATAATTTTGATTTTGGGAATGTCTTATGGTCTCAATTTGTGCAAAGCCATGTGTCAAAGTCTAAGGCTACATAAATCTCCTATGCACGATTTATGTCTATTGTGGTAAAGCAAGCCCTGGATCATTTCAAAGTTCCAGTTATGGCGGAGATTCAGAAGACGAGTACGTCAACTTTTGTAACTTCCGATCCTCATAATTTTGATTATTTTAGTTATATTCTGGAGATTATGCTTGCTAAAGTTCCAATGGATAGTGAGGTTATTCGCATTTATCGGCAAATCCCCAAGTTTCCTGAACGAGAAATTTCATCGGCTCTACAAACTTTTCTTGACGCTGGTGATATTCCAAAAAGGGGTGGAGGAAAATGGAAGGCTAAGGTGGTCATTGATAAACCTATGAAATCTAAATCTCATTCGAAAAGGCCACCTAAGAAAGTGAAGCCAGTTGTTGTGACAGAAGAATCAGAAGAGGATACACTCAGTGATATTCATCTTAATGATGAATTTTTTACTGATGATGCTACGAAAACATCAGAATTTCCTGAGAACAATCTGGAGTTAGTTTCTCAACCTGAAACAGTGAAGGTATCCAATCCTATTACAACTCCTATTTCTACTCCAATTGTGACTATGACAAAGTCGTAAATTTATCAAACATCTTTGGAAAACCCTATTATGAACTTGTCCCAATCACAAACACCACCTACACCATCTGTAGTTCAGAATCAACCTCCATCAACTCCCGATCTCACTCATACTATTCTAGTTCCGCCTGCTTAACCAATTCTTGAGACTATTTTCACAGAGCTCTCCACTCAAATTCCAACAACCAATCCAATCCCAACTCCTATTTTTACCGAATCTACAACCACAACACCCGTTTCTCAACCTAAACCTACTTCCACTACTATACCTCCAACTTCTGAACCCATTGTTACTGAAAATGAACCAGTTCTTAATGAATATTTCACTTCCGAACAACCATCATCAAGTGTCCCACCAATTCCTACCACTCGACTTGATTCCGAACCAATTCCAATATATCCATCAGTTCACGAAACATCTCCATCAGATTTTGATGCATATTTCATGGTTGTTGATGATCCCGAAGTCTTAGAACCATATGTTGCAACCCCAACAACTGTTTTCTATGATGAGAATTCGGAATTTGTCACCAGTCAAGAATTTGATGTTATGAAAAAAAAGTTTGATACTCTTATTACGCATGTTGGTACTTTTTCCACTATAAATTTTCTCAACATGGTCATTACTCATCAAAGTGTCATTGAATCGATTACTCAAGATAATGCAAGATTTAATGAATGACAAGAAAAGCTTTTTCTGAAACCACTACGAAAATTGACAGAGCAGTTTTAGATATTCAAGCAATTTCTGAAAAGATGGATTCAGTTCTTAAGGGAGTTCAAGATTCAGTTGACAATAAGCTTTTTTCAGTTGAAACTACTGTTAAAACTATGGAACCTTATCTTCAAGAAGAGAAAGAGTCCTTTTCAGCTCTTCATTTTGCTCTACAAAAGGATAATTTTGATCATCATACTTCATTTTTGAAGTCTATTCTTGCATTGCAAAGGAATTATGAGGGAGAATCTAAGTTGATGAATACAATAGCTGAGAAGACTCATAAGATCAAAACAATGAGGCCGTAGTTGAAGCATCTTAATGCTAATATTGAGAAAATGGATGATGAATTGTGGCTTGTGGGGAAGAGAAATTTTGAAATAAAGCAACGATTAGTGAGCATTGTTGAAGAGAAAGATGCTCTTTACGTTGATTGCATGTCATAATTGTTTGATGCGAAGTTACAACTAATTCTCTCAAAGCTCAAATGTTTAGAGTAGTAGTGCTACTGTGCAACAATGGGGAGAAAGAGGTTGATTGTAACACTCCAATGGAAGAAGAGTTGAATGATGATATTCTAGTTTCTGAGCCTGAGCCAATTAATTTGAAAAATCCATATGAGGTTCTGAAAAGAACAAAAAGACTAGAAAAGGCAAAGAATATTGTTATCAAAGAAGCAGTGAAAGAGAGTGAAAAAATTTATGATAATACACATAAAAAGAATTCGGTGAAGGTATCTGATAAGGTTAATGTAGCTTCTGAGAAGAGAAGAGAAGAGTAAAGATTGTTTCGGAATAGGAGATTGAACCAGCTGCAATGGAGGAAGAGAAAAAGGCTCACGAAGTAAGAAACAAAGAGCTTGATGAACTGAATGCTCTAGAAGTGCAACTTGATCAGCATGATGCTGAATCGCGAAATATATATGCAACTAAAGCATCAAGAAGAGCTTTATCGCCTGCATGGATTGTTGACCGAATGCATGAGGACACTATCAAGAAGCTGAACGTTTATTGGCTAGAACCAAACACTTATTTTTCGGTTAAGAACGAAAATGATAGTGAGGTTTGATTTCCCAATGACTCCAAAGGCATTCTTGTTTCGAGTTTTCGATCATGTCATGAATACTCCTTTAAGTCACACTCCAACGAACAAGAAATTGTTCAAATTTTATGCATCTCACTCAAATCCGCAATATGGTATTTGGACTAAAAAGAGGATATCGGGATTAAGGCTGGAAAACCTTTCAAAGCGGATGGGTTTACAAACGTGGCATTCACAGCTCATAGAGGACTTAAACATGAGGCATTTCAATTCACTCTTGCTGATCTTCCATTGATGAATCCTTATGACTGGATTGTCATGCTCAACATCTTATCGAAAGAACCTATCAAGTTTGATCGAATCATTCACCATTTGTGAATAATGATTAGATCTTATATTTAAGAAATATCAAAGATAGATGTTGAAATCTCCGCTATATTGAAACGAGTTTCGATTTTGAAACCATTCCCTCAACCTGAAGGGTTGAAGCTTCTCAAGGTTGGTTATATTTAGAAAGATCCATGGGCAGTGGTATACCAAACTAAAGAAAAATGGAGTTTTGGTCAATAGCATGTTGCACTTGCGAGACACACATCTATTCACTTCTGAAACTCTATCCAATGTTTTATCTCGAGCAAAAGTGTGCAAGCTTAATTCTGCAAGTGATGTCAAATGTGTTGCAGACATGTTATATTGGTGGATACCAATTCATATGGTGCTCAAAGGAATTGTTCCAAAAGTTTTTGACGAACAAAAGTGAAGACTACATTCATAACTTGACACAACAGGGGAGATTGTTAGGTTTCAGAATTTATTGTGTTGTGTCAAGTTTGTACGCGACTCAATTCGATGTTTGTTCTTATTGTAATACAGCCTTCACATTTCGTATGTGATCTTAGTGTTTGTATTTCACATATTTGTTTATGTTTAGGTTTGAAACTTTAGTTGTTGACTTAGACGTATTCATATCTGACTATTCTCTCAGACCTATATATATATATATATATATATATATATATATATATATATATATATATATATATATATATATATATATATATATAGGAGGGTTAGTTAGTAGAGAGAGTATCTTTCAGAGAGATAGCTTCTTTTACTCGTTTATTGAAGTTGTCTTTTACTCTCTAACTACATTATAACCCGCGTTAAACGTCGGGGAACGCATAAAAAACATACAAACGTATATAGATATTGCATAATAATTAAAAATTATGGCTATTGGTATTATTTAAATGTGTAGAAGATATACTGAAATCGATAAATATCTATAATCGTTGAAGGACCTCTTTGTAGATAATATTTTTTGTTTTATTAGTTGAAGGACCTCTTTGTAGATAATATTCTTTGTAGATAATATTTTTTGTTTTATTAGTTGACCTTTTTGCATAAAAAACATACAAACACATATAAGTACCTTCAAACCTTTTTTACTTGTGACACAGGAAACAACTACATATAACTGACCATGATTGAAAACAAGTCTACGCAAGTATAATCAAACATTTGATAATGATTGTCTTTGATTTTTGTTAATGGTCATAGCAAAACAAACAACTATGGGGAATTGCCTCCGCTGAAAACGCAATGGAATTTATTTATCAGGCGGGGTTAACTTCGTGCGAAATATATAAGTAGTCTCGTTGAAAAATCTATCAGATATGATTCGGGCTTCAATGACGTGTCTTCCAAGCGTTACGATTTGTAATCTAGTACCATTACATAGTCCTTTGGTTTGGTCGATATTACGAAATAACATGACCGAAACACCTTTTTTTAGTATAAGATTATGGTTGGGAATTCCAGAATCCTTAAAACCATTCAACATATCTGGAGAGTATAACGATTCCTCAAAAGAATCTTGTGCCTCATTCTCACATAAAGAATTAGAACTCAGATACGTTTTCCCTTCATCTTTCATCAATTCTGACTTGTAGTCGATGCTAGCATCGACTTCTTCATTTGTAGGGACCAAAATAGTTTTATCTTGAAAATACGATGGATCATCAAGATGGTTCTGAAAAGATGAATAAATGGTGGATACAATTGAATGAATATGGTCACCTGTAGAGGGAACGATAACATCTTATGGAAATTCAACTTCAACTTCACCATCATTAGGGCCACCGATAGTACCTTCACCAATTTTAAGAATCCATTCAGCAAATGATTTTGTCTCTTCAAAATCATTATTTGGACAGCCGACCTGAAGCCTCAAGTTTACATTCAAACGTAAAATTATACATTCACGCCATAATCTTGATGAATGCAATGATGCCTGGACAATATCTGAACGATTTCCTCTTTGTATTAGTGGAAGAATCTATCGAAATTCACCCCCAAATACAATGGTCTTGCCACTAAATGGTTTATTCTTGTCCGATGAAAGGATAACTTCTCTAAGTGTCCTATCAACTGCTTCGAAACAATGACGGTGCATCATCGGGGCTTCATCCCATATGATAAGTCTAGATTTATTCAACAATTCAGCTACATCGTTACCTGGCATAATAGAACAAAACGAATCCTCGTTTAAGTTAACTGGTATATGAAATCTTGAATGTGTTGTCCTACTACCAGAGAGCAAGAGTGGTGCAATTCCGCTTGAAGCAACATTGATAATAATTTCACTTTTAGATCTAATAGCAGCAAACAATGTCTTTCGAAACAAATGTTTTTCCTGTTCCTCCATAACCATACAGGAAAAAGAAACCACCTTTTTTGTTGTTAACAACATTGATAATTGTATCATAAACCTTTTTTTTCTCGGCATTTAATTTGGAATGCAGTTGTTGATGTTCGACTTCAAGACTGGATGGATCATAATTAACCTCATCTTGAATTAACATATTTCAAGAATCTTGAATATATTTGTGATCATGTAATGGCATATTGGGTATTTGCTTCAGACTCAGTCCACAGCTCAATAAAAATTTCTCAATGTATGACAACTTAAGGTGGAAAATTGCTTCTGGTTGTAGCTTCAAGCCGAAAAATACAAAAGATTATGAAATTATTGATTTGTAATATCAATTAGTTTTAGAATGTTTTTTTTGTGTAAATGGGTTAGATTATTTGAAAATGTACCTGTTACGCCAATTTCTTGTTCACGAATGTGAACGACATCATCAGAAAGACAATTATAGGTCTCTTTAAAAACATGATAAGGTTGGTATAGACTATCTGATGTAATCAAGATAACAAATAGAGACCTGCAGAATGAAGCAGTGGCCCAATGATGTGTTTCGTGTATAGAATATATGTACTCTCTATCATCGTCTGATAGAACAAGAGCATAGCAAGCATCTTAGTAAGATTCATAAATGGTCCCGTTAACCGTCCTAATATCTTCATAGCAAGTAGGACCCTTTACTTTGTTGAGCAAAATGTGTAAGTAATAAAAATCACCAGACTTGGGAGACACGTGATTAATTCTACCAAGTGACTTTATCTTTGTTTTTCTTCTTGTCCATACATTATTTGATTTATTCCAAACATATTGAGTTGGGAATTCAACATATGATAACTTCCGTGTCTTTTCATCATAGTTGTTACATTCCATCCAAGCCTTGAGAAGCAACAATAGTGGGTTTAGAAACAACATTAGTAACACGTTGAGATGGTTTAAACACAACATGTTTGTCTTCAAGGTGAAATGACAACCTTTCAACAGGAGGTATTGTATAATGAATTTCATACCCAAAAAGTCTCCAACATGCCTCACAAGCAGAAATATAACGACAATTGTAAAAGCCAACAATTTCATCATGGTCGTTATTTTCTTTATGTTGCTTTTTTTTTATTATGGGCCTCATAAAAAGAGGTTGTGATCTTGTCTCATCCTTTGTTAATATACTTAAAAATATACTTTTGTCGATCCAAGCTGATTACACTACTCAAGATTCATATGTGCTTAATATTGCTTCAAAAGTATCATATTATATGGAACAACATATCTGAAAAAGGAAAGAAACATGTCATAAATAACATTAAAATCATATTATTTTTAAAACAGAGGAGAAACAAATAAACATATATCATAATTATTATTTTTATATTATATAAAGTATTTAAATGATATAATATAAATGTATATAAAAAATGATGTATGAATAGTTTATGTGACTTAAACTTGACTACCTGAACATGAATATTCCATTAAAATCATGTCCAAGCTGCTCACCATGTTTATGTTGTTTTTGTAAGTCTGATTCCAAAGCATGACTACCTGAACACAAATATTCCATATTTC